ATGTTTTTGTAAGATATTTACATCTTTAAAGGACATTCGGTAGACTGATTCCCCACTGTTGGTTCAACCCCAAAACTTGTTTGTATTCAAAATTAATTATGACAAAGCATATTTATATTGAAACAAACTATGATAAAGGGAATTATATTATATAACGAAGGGCAAGGTCACCAGAGTTCAACTATGTTTATTCTGGTGATGGTTCGTAGTCTGGGTTTTTGACCGACTATTTTTCAGGTCATGGAGGTCGGTCATGGAAATTTGTTACCATCTGTATTAGCACTCCGTACTTTGCATCCGCCCTTTGCATTTTTCATAACTCTTACATAAATTTACCTCACTGATCTATTTTTATCTGTTCTTGTATACAGTATTAATCCCTTGTCAGTGTGCTACTGTGATTCTGCCCGGGGTTACCAGTAGTAGTTACGAGTAGTTAGCTGTGAGAGACTGGAGGAACTTTGTCATAGTACTGTGCCCATTAATAATTCTTTTGTCGATTGAATGATGCAGCATCATAAAAAAGCTGTGCAATCTGTGGTCGCAAAACATCTACATGTACATTTAGAAGATACATTTAGAAACAAAATGTCACTATTTTAGACCTCAGTAGTTAATAAAATAAAATGCTTAGATCAGAAATGTCTTGCTTCAACTGATTGATGTTTATAAATGCACACAGAAAAATTCTTTACATGTAATGTACCGAAACCAGTTTGGAGTGCACATCCTAAATCTATAAAAGAAATATGTTTGTTCAAATATAGTCAAACAATTACCTGTCTGAAAGGTCAGGAAATATCTGCAATTTTAATAATCTACATGTAATCTAAATTGTGTTTTTTTAGCTACTTTTGAGATAACATGGCTGATTCTGAAGAACAGAACTTTCCACGTGGAATTCTGAAAAAGAAAGCTACTGAAAATGTGTCGGTCGCATTGAAAGATACCAAAGTGAAATTGAAAGAAAAACATCAAGATGATTTATTTAAAGTAAGTAAATATCAGGGTTATTAATCTACTCTGAGCATGAGTGTAATATTCACACCAAACTAATTGCATATTTTCATTCTCTTTACATTTTTTAAGTCAACAGTATAATAGAGACTGTACATAAGTATTGACTGCTGTGTGTATTAAGTCACTTACATGTATAGGGAGAGTAGACAAAAAAAAACATGTAAATGCACCATGTAATTATTATAACATACTATTTTCCTTATTTGAACATTGTGTTACATCATTGCTACCAGTGTTCTCCCCAGGCCAAAACAGCGTCGCGGGCCGCGTCGCGTTCGGATTTGCCTGTGACGCTATGTGTTTCCTCCGGGATGCTATTATTTATCCCGTCTTCTGATTTCTTCAGTCTCTCACAGACTGTAAAGTTTCCTGGCTAACTAGTTAAATCTACAAATGCATTGTATTAACGCCAATTTCCCAGGATAATCCCCTGTTGTTTCTCATTGGTTGGATATCGTTTTAAAAAAACAGCAGTTCTATAAAAACAAAGCCGTAAGCCCTGGTGTCAAATGCATTTAAATGAATAGTCACACTTGGGGTAAAAAACCACATGTTTCCGGTGTGTACGAAACGTATTTTCATTATTATTTTTTAGAAATGTAGTCGTACTATTATTCTAGGTTTTGATTTTTATCAGTATTTTTGATATTGTATTTGTTTTTTGAGATCAAAATGTGAAAAAATATATATTGATAATGTAAAAAATTTTGACCTTGTGATTGTGAATCCAAGATGGCGTCATCCACGTAAGATCCGATGAGCGTGAACTTCCCACTCGGATCGCATAAATAATATATTTATCAAGAAATCAAGAATTCTAATCAAGAAACGTGTGGAAATTGGAGTGACACTTGTGTTATTTCTTGGAGGAAAAGCCTCAATTTTACGTGGTATAACATTGGCGACAATTCGTAATTCAGAACTCTGTTGTCTCGACTTGTTCACAATTGTGTTGAACAGACAACATCGACGATTAAAAAAAACACATAAAGATGGATAATTCCAGCCAGAAAAACTATTATTGCTCGAACATAGTAGCGTGAGTATCGTGACTCATAACAGTTGTTGTACTTAACCGGAAAACAACAGAAACGGAAAACAAGCACTGAGAATCATCAACCCAATGTTTAATTTACCGGGACCAAACAAGGTTTTATAGAGTAGCTGATTGCTGGGCCAAGCAAAAAAACACAGAAAACTCTGTATTTATGTGGGACATTTGCAATACTAAACATGCAGTGCACTTTTATTGTATACAGATTGTACGTAAAATAAATAGAAAAAAAAAGGAAAAAAAAACTGGTCTTGTTTTTTTTCCCCCCATATGACAAACAATATTTAATTTATGTTAATTATATGCTAATTATTATGTATATTAGCCGCGACTCTATGGAAAATTTCTGGGAAGAACACTGATTACTAGTATACATCATTGGCCCTGAATCTGTATAACCTTGTTACATTATACTATGTAGTGAGAATTTATGCAATATTTCTAATGTTGTAGGAAATGTTGAAATAAAAGTCTAATATGTTATAAATGAACTACAATATTTCAGAGTGTATCAACTTCAATCGACTCAATATGCTGCTTGCACACCAGCTGGTGTTTGATATAAAACAAGCAAACATGGATGGTATCACTATTGATTAAACACCTAATACATAGTCATAGTACTGTAAAAACTCAATTAATTAATTCATGCACCCAATTTATTTTCAAAAAATAATTAGTAAATGTATACTTTTTTAATTGTGACATTAGTAATAATAGTAGATATGAGAAGTTGTTATAAATCTGCATCACTGATTTCAGAGATTAATAAAATGAAGGATTTTAAAGTTATTGGTATGTAAGTGATATGCAATGAAGATCACACACAAGATGTCACATATATTGTGATATTATCACAAAATCACAAAAGAAACTTCATTTCTAGAAATCCTAATTATTGAGTTAGTCGAAGCATGTTAATAAGAGCATTTTGTGATATCTCGCTCATTTCTGTTTACATAACATTTCCAAGCACTCACCACATTCTGTGATACTCTTTGTTATAACTGATTGATGTACACAGAATAGGATTGCTTTCAAACGTGTTTGCTTCATCCTATAACATTGTACATGGTTATGAAAGTTGCATACATGTACATGTACTCTATCTTATGAAGTCTATAATAAACATAATATAATAATATAATAAAATATGCAACGTTTTTTTCTCAAGAAATGGTTCATATCATGCTTACAATTTTTTGTTTGAAAAGTGATAACGATAAAATAGTGTCACAAGTTGCTAGTTCAACCATACTAAGTGAAAGCTACTCCAAAGTAATTAAGACTTCAATAGATGGGATTTGTTTTGATACAACTGTATAATGATTGCCAAGTGCACAGTTGCAAAACATTCAAATATTTTTTTATCAGAGTACTGCAGTCAGGGGCAAGAAGAGACGGATAAAAGATGATAAAAAAAGTGACGATGGAGGAAAGAAAAAGAGAAAGAAAACTGACAGTAGCATCAAAGTAGGACTGGTAAAAACAGTTCCAACATTATCATACAAGGTAACTAAGTAGAACTCTCACACCTGTGTATTGAAATAATTTACTTTCTTGTTAGTGTTTGTGTGAGTCAGGTTTAACTCTATGTGCTAGTGTTATACATGTACATGTAGTATGGTGAATGGATAAATATAAAAATAACAGTTTTTGTTCTCTGATTCTTCAGATTGGTGTTGTTGAACTGAGTTGATTGTTTCAAACTTCAGGTTTCCATATGCAGATTTCAGCTTGTCCAAATTTAACATATCTTGCAATATTTTGTGTTCATAAGCAATATTTTTGAAAATATTTTCTTTACTAATTTTCAGAATTTAAGAGAGGGTATGCTTTTACTTGGAGCTGTGAAAGAGATTCATGAATATGAACTGATCATTAGTCTTCCACACGGTTTGACTGGTTATGTTGCCATCACTGATATATCTGATGTGTACAATAGGTTATTACAAAGATTTACCGATGGGGATAATGAAGATCTTGTCAAAGAGGTAAATTCATTAATTCATTTCTTTTACTCACTTTCATACTTTTTATGACAATGACAATTCGTTTATTGCCTTGAATTTTTTCTTAAATACACACTCACAGAAAAAAATAATACTATGTATAAATATGCAAGGAAAGGGGAAATACTTGAACCAAAGCAGTCAAATATATTTCCCTCTTTTTAAATTAGTTTGTAGATTACTTCTATGCTAGCAGATTTGACAGATTGTTACTTATCCAAATTAAAAATAAATTTAATACAACTAAAGATATACATATTTCTACGTTTATTTTTCCAAATTATTTAAATCGGCTAAAACAGTGGCATGTAATTTATACTACACTATCAATATAGTTATTCAATAATTCACATTTATATACTTTTTTTAAATAAAGAACAATTGAAACAATTTTGAATGTTACTAGGAATACCATTCCACAATTTTGCACCACTATGAGTCAAACACATAGATTTTAATGTTGTTCTTTTATAATTGATTATGCTATCTAGTATTGTAACTATGAACTGTAATTATCAGTGAACATAAAATATTTTCTGAATATGAGCTGGAGGCAGAGAATGATATGCCTTGTACACTGTAACAACAGTATTCAATACAATCAAATCAAAAATTTCACCAAGTGAATAAAAAATAGGATTGGTATGACTTCACCACAGACCTCAGCACTCTTTTTTTGTTTTATGTTCTCTGTGTCAAAGCTGTCATCTGAATCGCTCTAATATCATTATTTGCATCATGGGACATACGTGTTGTCATAGTTTGATTTATGATGACTGGCAGCCATTTGTAAAATGACCCAAACACTACCATGATACATGTATGAATAAATATTGTGCAAATCTTTTTTTTTATGGTTCTAACTTAAAATGGCTGATAAATTTTTCAACATTAAGTAATCTGCACTGTGCCTTGACTAACGGTGTTTACATCTCATTCCTTGTTTTTTTAACACAGGATCTTCCCAGCTTAATGGATTACTTCAACATTGGTCAGTATGTCAGCTGTGCTGTGAAAGAACTCAATACAGCTGTAAAGGGAGTGAGAAGAACGCAGCTGACATTACTTTCTAGAGTAGTTAACCAGACGTACACACCTTCAGTATTGAAGTATGGACAGGTATATAACAATTTAATAATCCGCTGCAAGGTCATATCTATTTTGCTCATATTATTTTCTGAATGCCAACATGTATTGAGATAATGCTTGTTTTATTAGTCCCCATTCGGACACAGTCCGAAAACAGATACTTACATGTATGTTTTGACATGCGTGCATGTGTCTGGACCTGTATCTTAGAAATGCCTGGACCAGTATCTTAGAAATGCCTGGACCAATCACAATCAAACTTCACACATACATCATACATGATATTATACATATGCACATTAATTTGTTTCACGATCTGATTCAAGATGGCCGAATGGCAGCCATTTTTGTACAGAAAAATCATCAAAATGAAGCATTTCTTGGCTGTTTACAGATGGATTTTGTTCAAACTTGGTACCGTAAAATTCCTAATTGAGGCCGCGGCTTTAATTAAAATTCATTTTTCAATGGACGAATTGAGATGCGTGAAGTCTTGGTGCGGCTTTAATTAGAGCATTCACTTTGGTAACAGTGGGAAATTGTTTCAAAAAACAAAGGCCAGAAGGGATAATGATATGCTAATGAGATGCATGACACTCGATTGCAACTTTGTTGCGATTCTAAGGCACTTTCGGATGTTTACACATAGACAAACTTCTACACAAACAAAATTTCACACTGTATAACATACTGCACAATAAATAATATCTACAAATATATTTGTATGCATTTGCAGATTACAGTACTATATACTACAATCTCTTGAATAGACTAATTCGTTAGCACCGGTATAGGTCACAAGTAAGAGACAGCCGACACAGTCGATTGCGGTATGTTCGACATCCGGCAGAGTAACTGGTACATTCCATGTTTACTAGTAATTTAAACATCGGGAAAATAAAAATAAAAAAAGTCAATCGAAAAAAAAATGTTCGCATGATAACAAAAAAAATACTCAGTATAATATTTAATGTAATATATATTTATTTTCTTATTTTTTTTGATAACGAAAAGTATATTCTAAAAAAAGTCAAAACAAAAAGGAATGCATTCTTAGTAGCAAATGATCACAGTAACGGTCATGCTGCGTTTCACACAAGTGAATAACTTACTTGTTTTCGAAGTGTTACAATTGCTGATTATTACTCAGTTGTGATTACAATAACGTACAAAAAAATAAATTCGTTGAATTGTTGTGAAAATTCAACTTAGTCTCACCGCAAGCGAATGATTTCGGTCACATATAAACGCCCGATCTGATACGATATCCACCATGTTTGTTCAAACATCTTTAGTGACTTGAAACTGTTTTGTTGACCTGATAGGTCAAGTCGCTAATTAACCAATCGAAACGCTAAATTACCATAGCTCATTTAAATATGTTAATGTAGTTCAGCGACCTCATGGTAAACGAAACACGGAAGAGATTTACCGTTGTTGTAGTGCGATCGTTTGGCTTTGATTTTGATGGGAAAACAGCATGATTTTTCGGCTGATCTGCACTGGCTCGGAAGATGAATTCTGATTGGCTAAAAAAACAAAAAAACTTGTGGCGTTGAATGCACGTTCATTGTCAGTATTGTTATGCAAATTCAAACTAGCTAATCATTTACAACCTTCCGAGCCAGTGCAGATTAGCCCTGATTTTTTTTTAAAATCAAGAAATTAGTTATTTTTGGAAAGATAAGCTGAGCATTGAAGAAGAATTTAACACTTTTTACAATAATAACAGCTCATTGTCGAAACGCAGTTTACCCAGTCATGCTACCCACAATAAACCTGTGCTCTTGAATAAGCGTCAATGACTACGGAAAACCTTAATTAGACTCTAATCTTAGCGTCAGGAATCATTGAAATGTTCGAAAAATTATGCCTTAATTTAAAATTAAATGGTATATCTTTTCTGAAATATGTGGTGGATGTTTGGTTTGTGAAAGTTTGGGGTGCGGCTTATATTGGAGACTTTTTCCTGGAATCAAAACTTGTCAATTTCAACATGAAACAATGTCTCAAGTTAGGGGTGCGGCTTCTATTAAAGCTGCAGCCTCAAATATGATTTTTACGGTATATACATTGGACAATTTAGGAGCTTGATGCACATCATTTTGTTTTAGAGATAAGATTCAAAATGGCTGACTGGCAGCCATTTTGTTTTAACAAATGGGCTTCTAGAGCCATATCTCTGACAAGCTTTGACTGATTATGTTCAAATTTTTTATATTCATTATACATCATGTCATAGATAGACAGATATATTGGTTTGACAATCCTATTCAAAATGGTCGAATGGTTACCATTTTTGTGCTAAGAAAATATCAAGCATTTCTGGCATTTATGGATGGATTTCGTTAATACTTATAACATACATTAGACATTACGAGTTCCTGATAAACATCATTTTATTTTTCAGATTAGATTCAAAATGGCTGACTGTTGGCCATTTTGTTTTAATGAAAGGGCTTCTAGAGCCATATCTCTGACATGCTTTGACTGATTATGTTCAAATTTTATATATTCATTAATTATTATATATTATGTTATAGATATATACATGTATTCAAAATGGCTGATTTTCTCAATGTGGACATGTACTACTCGTTTGACGATCTGATACAAATATCAATCATTTTAATGTTAAATAATCATCATAATTATATTCCTGACATGGTTATATTCCAGCTATAATACTATAAACAAAACTCTTAAATTTGATAACTAACGAGGACTGTGCCATGCATGGCTTGTTTTGTCAGGTTTTATCAGGTGTGGTTAAAAGTCAAGAAGATCATGGTTATATGATAGACTTGGGAATAACTGGTGTACAAGCATTCCTCAATCATAGATATGCCAAAGTGTACATTGATATGAAAAATAATGGTAAGTATCTTATGATTATAATTTCATATTTTGCTGCCTCAATTAACATAACTTGATATACTGGTTTTGTAGTAATAGTCATCTGTGCTTATGACAGATAAAATTGCATCTACATACCGGTATGTAGAAATAAAAGTGTGTCAAAATAAGTTGTACTTTATTGAAATGGTAACCCAGTTTGGCTTATAAGAACAAAATAATTTCAAGCCCTATAATGTAAGCCCTGCACATGGCCCTGAATTCATTCAATCACACAAAGATATCTCAATATGCATTATGGATAGCATCTCTAACCAGCATCAGAAAGGCTACAAGCTTAACTCCTGTGATTGGCTGCCTACTGTAAAAATAAACATGTAGCCATACAGGTTTTGAAAAATAGTTTCTAGGGTAAAGAAATGTAAACGCTTGGTTTGATGCTGTACATAAAAAGATGTCTCTGAAACATAGATTATACTTCTTCATGAAAAACAGTGAAATAGATAAAAATGATAGGATTTATTTTTAAAATGTTGATAAAATGATGCTATTGAAAACATGTTGTTTACAGGTCAGTCTTTACTAGTTGGTCAGCCTGTAGAATGCTGTATAAAAGAAGTAATGTCAAATGGAAGGTCTGTCACTCTGACAATTAATCCAAATAAAATTACAAAGACTGTAGCAAACAAAAAGAAGTATCCATACCTGCATATGGTCGTTCCTGGTACCAGGGTAAAAGCAACAGTGACTGAGGTGAGTACATTGCATTGTGGTACAGAATTTAGAATCAGGAATTAGGGTATTATGTGTTGGGTTGATATTAGCCTGTTAAAATATTATAATGGCAAACAGAATGATATGATGATGTATGTATCATGGTCAGTAGTCTCCCATAATTCTCTGTTTTAATCCCAGGGTTTGACAGTCACCTCTTTATACCAGACTGAGTCACATTAGAATGTATATTATGTATATTTCTGGCTTGCATGTGTGAAAATAATTTCCAAAATTTCAAATCTGTTCACCTTTTACAAAATAAACCTGCATGCAATTAAATGATTTAATTTGTCTATGCTCAATAGAGAAGATTTCTTCCTTTATTGTATTTGCAGTCATAAACAATATTAACTTTATTTTAAATGTATCTTTTTTTGCCTCACTTAATGATATTTGTGTTGTCTTTACTTACTTCTAGGTGCATGAAGACTTGTTAAAAGTTGATTTTCTTGAATATAGTGGTTTCATCAATCATTTTCACCTCCCACATTTCAGTACTAAGTGCAGTCATTACAAGAAAGGACAGGAAGTAAGCTTACTTTTTACCTATGACATATTACGTGGGTTGTGCAATCATTAACTCCCTATTATACATATATATTCTCAACTTCTGAAACTTGGCTGTGCAAATAAAAGGTGAATATTGATTAGTGAATAGAAGTGGAACTTTTGATAATATATTATATTTTTCTCTTATTGCAGGTCACTGCATGTATTTTGTATAACAATGCGTCAACAAAGACGGTTGGTTTGTCACTACAAACATCACTGTGTGAAAAACTTGAGAAATCATCTTTACATCACAATCTTAGAATTGGAAAAATATGCAAAAAAGCTGTAATTAAAAAAATAGATGGTAACCATGGTATTCTTCTACAACTCAAGATTGTACAATCCTCTGAGGTCTATGTTCTGGTAAGAATTGTATTGTAAGATATCATTTATTTATCATGGCACCTAATTAATTGTAAACTACATTGCTATTTGGTAGAATAACTACATGCTAGTTAGTAAAATAACTACATTGCTAGTTAGTAAAATAACTACATTGCTAGTTAGTAAAATAACTACATTGCTAGTTAGTAAAATAACTACATGCTAGTTAGTGAGATAACTACATGCTACTTTATCAATTAGTCATCACATGGGGGTTATTGAATTAGCTTCTTCCTCATTGCAGGAATAAAAAGGGTAGCTAAATTAGCTAAAATGGTTATCACTTTCTCCATTTGTCTTGCTAATTAATTATAACAGGATATTGTTTGTTTTCATGAAGCATACACAAGTGTCTGACAAAACTATCGAAGGTAGTTTAAAAGAACATTTTACGGTTGGGTCTAAAGTGATGTGTCGTATTATTGGCTATAATTATTTGGATGGTTTGGTATTAGCATCTATGAAGTCATCTGTCATTAGTCAAAAATTCTTGACATACAGTGATATTAAAGTTGGTATGAAGATTGAAGTAAGTAACAACTCTATTGTCTTTGGTTAATACATCATTTATAGTCTTGTTACAGAAATATTGAATATACAATTTTTTTTTAATTTTTTTGTTTACTTTAATGAAGAAGCAATTTTCAGTCAACTGATGACCCATCAACCATGTCACCTTGAAACCAAGCAATCAATTATCCGAGTTAGCATGCATCAACCATGTCACCTTGAAACCAAGCAATCAATTATCCGAGTTAGCATGCATCAACCATGTCACCTTGAAACCAAGCAATCAATTATCCGAGTTAGCATGCATTAGCCATGTCACCTTGAAACCAAGCAATCAATTATCCGAGTTAGCATGCAACCAGTTATCTTTCATTCCAATCGTTCTGTAAATTATGGTTGTTGTCATCCGAATCATATAACTCGTCCATTAGTTAACTCAAATAGTTTGTTAATTCATCAATTGAAACATTGGTTTGCTTCTCCTGTGATGCTACAAACATTAATTCTATGAATTACATCAAGCACTTGGATTCCAATTTCAGAGTCAATCTAAACATATGTGTTTATTCACATTTCTCACAAATTGACTACATATTTTTTCTCAAGGCTAAAATAAAAGCATTTTATAAGTCTGGCTTGAATGTGGAAGTATCAGATCGTATTCAAGGTTTCATCCCTCGTTTACATATTGATGATGTTCCATTGACCAATCCACTCAAGAAATACAAAGAAGGTGATAAACTGTTGTGCAGAGTAAGTTTACCTGGTAGTTTTTTCTCTTTCTTGCAAATCTTTCTAAAGCCCTCCTGGTTTCTTGAACAAATAATATCCCTTCTGTCTTCTCTAACCCATCATACCCTTTCTGTCTTCTCTAACCCATCATACCCTTTCTGTCTTCTCTAACCCATCATACCCTTTCTGTCTTCTCTACCCATCATACCCTTCTGTTTTCTCTAACCCATCATACCCTTCTGTTTTTTTCTAACCCATCATACCCTTTCTGTCTTCTCTAACCCATCATACCCTTCTGTTTTCTCTAACCCATCATACCCTTCTGTTTTTTTCTAACCCATCATACCCTTTCTGTCTTCTCTAACCCATCATACTCTTTCTGTCTTCTCTAACCCAT